CCGAAGAAAGGAGCAAACACACCACACTACTAGAATCTAATTTTAGGACAAATAATCATCGCCCATACTGGCCTGCAGTGAAGGTCTATATCCCGAAATGGCAGAAGTATGCGCTGTTTCTCTCTCCTGGTAATTGAATGGTCGACGGGCTAGCCTCGTAAATTGAATGTCTTGGGATTGAAGGGTTTCAAACTATGATGAAAAAGCTGTCCAGTAGTGTGTGTTTGTGTGTTGATATTCAGTGGTCCTCTAGCTGATATCAGTCCATGATGAAACTTAAAATCAGTACTTGTTAAAAAGGATGAGAGCTAGTCATTCCACCTGTTGTTTGAATTCAGATGCAGGCTCAGAATAACTATATCATGTACCACGATATGAGCAACCACGTAATCATTGTGTGTGTGTGTGTGTGTAAGGTAATGATGCTTCCTCCCCTAGTGCTTAGACCGAAGGAGATGAGGTGGTATTCAAACTCGAGAAATATTGTCCGAAAGTTGATTGCATAAAAAAAATCAGTAAGCCATTTCTCCACAATGACACTATCCAGCTGTCTGAATCTTGGTAGGCAGAGAGAAGCTTGAACCGACAATCGAGTGACTGGAATTTAAACATCTAGACGCATAAACTATATCTGTATTAGGAAAAGTATGGATCCACATATATAATATGATAAGGTTCTTAAATCCTAAAGGATAATAAGCTATATGCAATACTGATCAGTTTTAACTTATGTTATTTACAATTTTCAAATATTTATTGATAATATTTTGAAGCTACACCTCATGCTTCTACACTGCTGAAACTAACAGTCAATGGATGCTGAAGTTCTGTCAATACGGCAAATCAGATGACCAACCTGAAAGGATGAGCATCAAGGAATTCTAGGAAAGAACCATTTCAGAATCTATCGCCCAACAAGTATGAAGAAGGAAATCAAGATTTATTTCATAAATTCTGAGAAGAACATTAAGTAATATATTACAGGTTAGACAGGCCCTCAAATGGAATGCGAATGGGAAGCAAAGGTTTGGCCATGGGTCTGAGAGTGATGTGGAGGAAATTGTGTGATAAATAGATGAAAGCTTATGGGCAACCTTGGCGTTGTATTTCTGAAGCTCTATGTCCAACGTGGAACCAAAGACAATAAGGAAATATAAATTATTATATTTGACAGTGAGTGGAAATACTAAAGTGGAATAATGATATTGGTGTATAGGATAAGATTTTATTTTGATAAATCACACAGTGTTACACAGTAATATTAAATGGTGTATAGGATTATGCATCATAATGGATTAGATATATGAATGAACAGCTAAATAAATATATAGAGGTCAACCTAAAGTTCAATAGAGGGCATATGTGAAATAGATGATGAGAAAATAAAGTACATTCGGAAATGTGAATATAATATGATGGAGACGACATAGGATGAGTGAAATGTTGTCAAAATAGTAGATTAGATAAAATGTTAGAATATGATAACATAAAGTGAAATGAAATAAAACAGAAATGGAACACGAAATAAAGATAACAAAGTTTTTATGTGAATTACATAGTAAAATTGGGAGGTGCTCTCGAACACGGCGGGATATGTTCTTCAACGAACGTACTATGTACCTAGCTCCGCAAGACCAGGTGAATATATAAATACACATGGAATTTAACATTCGAGGTAACGTTTCCTTGACGTTCGTCGAGAAACATATCTCGCCGCGTTCAAGAGCACCTCCTAGTTTGGCTGAGTAGAGGAGAAGGTAAGGGAATTAATTCATCGATATTGCAACATAGTATAGATACTTATCACGCAACATCCGATACGTCGTTTAATATAGTCTACAAAATCTGACAAAGTTTGCAGAAAGGGATACGGGTGTATTTGCTTTGTGTAGCAGAGGCTTTGGCAGTACATACTATGAGGCCAGAACTTTGTGTACAAAAACAATTTGTACGATCTCTTTCGTTACTCCATGGTCTCGTGCGTCGGTGGCACAGTGGTTAGGACTCTCGCCGACCATGCACATGGTCCGGGGTTCGATCTCCTGCCGGCGCACACCCGATATCTATGGTGAGCCTGAATTTGGGCTACCGATATCCGTGCTGAAAATCCCATACTTGTACTGAAAATACGGTGTGGAATCAAGCCGTAAATCAAAAAAAAAAAATTTTACTATGTAATTCACATAACAACTTTGTTATCCTTCCTCTTTATTCCGTGTTCCAATTTTGTTTTGTCTTATTTCATTTTATTTTATGTTATCATATTCTAGCGTTTCATCTAGTCTCCTACTTTGACAACATATCACTCATCCATCCAACTCTCCATCATATTATATTCGCATATTCACATTTCCGAATGTACTTTATTTTCCGATCATCTAATTCACACATGATCTCTATTGATCTTTAGGTTGACCTTTATTTATTCATGCATATATCTAACCAATGATGACTCATAAGCCTTTACACCAATAATATCGTACTTTAGTATTTCCATTCTCTATGAAACTTTAACACACACACATACATGCAAACGCGAACTGATTGTTATTGTCCATTGTAAACTATTATATACCAATGGACATTGATATAAGAATAGAACCTGTGCACTGTGGTAGAGTATAATTCCATTAAGGGTAAAATTTATTTTGATAAAGTTTAACAGTGTTATACAGTAATATTTACTGATGACCACGTTTCAAGCACAATTTATACACTGCTCATAATCATAATAAGGTACTAACACAAACTTCTAACTTCGTTCATATAATTTTACTGTTTTCCATCACTTGATTTGATTGGTAGTAGTATTTTCCATATTTCAGGTATGAGTGATTAGTCACGTGTTGGATGTAGACTCGATGAACAAGGATTCAGTAATCAATCTCTCTTTCTGCGTTCTATCTACCTTGTGAAGTGGTATAATAAGGTGAGCGATATTGGGGTTAGGCGTCAAGTGCAAGGGAAGGAGGGAAAACCAATCAACGAGGCTGTGAAGTTACATCGACTGAGATGGTTAGGACATGTGTTACGTATTCCTAGTCATCGCCTTCCTCGATGGGCAATGTTAGCTGACATAGGGTCAGGCTGGAAATGAGCTAGCGGCTGTCAAACTAAAACATCGCACCAGTCAATGAAATCCACAACAGTTAGTCTAAGCCACGTAGGAAGGTGTAGACTTCCTGAGTGGTTGGGGTCCTCAGGACAGTAAAAACCAATGGTTGGAAACAATTGGTGATATGGCTCAAAATCGTTCTCAATGACAGCGCAGATGCATCCACTCCTTGTGACTTATGATTTCCAATGAAACTGTTTTGTTCTACGTTATTACTATTCCTTTGTCTCACACCTCTGTTTACTGTCTGTATTATGCATTTATCCTACTTTCTTCTCTTGCTTTGTGTGCTACAAAGAGGGAGTGTGGCGATTTGAACTGCTGCACATATGTGCAAAGTTCTATGTCGAAAACAGACAGACAGACTCTACACCTACCTATAATACTTCTTAGAATTTTAATAAAGCAGGAATTAGAGTGACACTTAAACCTACAAAATCACTCAGGTAGTACTAGCTCTGTAGGTTAAAGGACCCTGTTAACCTAATTAGACGAAATAATATAATTTACAAAATACCTTGCAATAACTGTGAGTGGGGTCAACTACATAGGTCAAACTAGTAGATTGGGGGTGGTCAGCTTGTCGGAACATAAGAGTTTAGCTAAGTTAAGAGTGGTTGACCCCGCGAAGATAAGTAATTTAGAAGAAAGCTCAGCAATCGCAATGCATACATTGACATACAACAACACAATAGGTTGGGTGGGAGAGGGTTAATAATAATAACAACTTTATTCCAAACAGTATTTGCGGTACAGGTATGGAATTTTCAGCGTTCATTACAATATTGCATCTAATTACTTCAAATTTTATAAGATTTTAAGATCAAAAAGCAACAACTAAAAAAAAAATAAATGGAACAGCATTGCATTCACATTTTTAAACAATGCACCACAGGATATGAAATATAAAATTACTGTGTAATAGAAGATGTGAACAACAATATAATAGTAACGAAGAGAGGAAAACAAAAACCAATGGGACTAATTGTTAGAGTGCCGCAGTAAGTTGATCGTGTCATACCTAACGGATTTCTCATCACATAACAGCTGTGCCAGATAAGGTATTGTGGAGTTTTTGTACTTGGTATTCCTAGCATATAGCCTCCTATAGTTGATTCTAGTTCTACCAGATGAAATGCAAGGAGATAGCTGTGTATAGACAGGATGCTTAGGGTCTAACAATATAGTATTCGCTAGTTTCTTACATGACACTATATGTCTATCTACAATAGTGTTAACCAGTTGGTTTAACGATATCCCACTTCCTCTACTAACGGCTTTTAGTGCCCTTCTCAGCAATGCAAAGTCTTTCTTAAGTAGTCCAGGAAAGATTAATGGGGAACAGTAATGAGGGATGGGTAGAATACAAGAAGTAATATAGATAGGTGGAGAGAGAGATTGATTACTGAATCCTTGTTCGTACACCCAATACGTGCAATTGAATGCAATGAAATATGGAAAATACTACTACCAATCAAGTCAAGCGAAGTCAACGAAGTTAGGAAGTTGTGTGAGTAACTTGCTATTGGGTTTATGAGTAGCAGTGTATTAATTGTGCTTGAAACGTGGTTATGAGTAAATATTACTGTATAACACTGTGAGACTTTATCAGAATAAATTTTACCCATAACAGAATTAATGGACATATTTTGTGAACACATGTGTCTTTGTTACGTAAGTATAACTTTTCTTATCATATTAGGGTAACTTCATATTAGAGTGTAGCTGCGTAGAAAATCGTCTGCTACTCGTTGTATAACATTGTTGGAACACAGATAATGCCATTGTGACTAACAAAAGTCCATTCGACTTCTTATCAATAAATATAAAGCGAAAATAAAACCAACACTTGAAAAATTAACTAAGATTTATGTATATATATTACTTACAAATTTTTTTGATAGTATAATCTTTCAGCAACAGCACATAATATATAGAATTCATTCAGTGTAAGTGGTTTACAATCGGCGGATAATTCAAATAAGCTGGCCAATTCATCAGCTTGTTCTTTAGTCAATGTACCACCAAGAAGATTTCCATTTGAATCCATAACTACCTACATAAGTAATTCGTTATGTGATGAGAAGATGGAAAAGACAAAAAGATGGCAAAAATCAACGTTCACTTACATATTTGACAAAGTTAAACTTTATTATTATTACTGTTTCCTTAAATTCCTAGAGAAAAATGGGGCTTCAGCCTCACGTCTCCATTGCGTTCGGTTCTCTGCTAGAGTCTTCAGCTGGCTCCAAGTCTACCCACACGCTTTCATCTCCTCTTCACATGACCTCCTCCAAGTAACCTTTGCACTGACGACCAACTCGCCGCTTCACTTTCGGGTTCCACTCGAGTGATGGCTTGTCTAGTCATATCACTTGATGGTTTCTTCAGAGTACGGCCAGCCAATCCATCTCCACATCTTGCTGCCTATTTGTTTCACAATCGGTCCCTGGTTGATTCGCTCCCAGAGATCTTTGTTGCTGATCTTTTCTGGCCGACCATCTGATCTTAAGTTGCATTGAGCGAAGACAACTGTTAATGAAGGTCTGTAGTTTGTTTGAGATGCTCTTTATGATGCGCAGTGCAAGTCTCTGATCCGTATAGTAGGTGGCAACGACTTCACATTGGAGTTGAAAATCCGGATCTTACTTTTGATGCTGAGTGCTGTTAACCTCCACACAGACTTTAGAGTAATGAAAGCTTGTCTTGCTTTTCTGATTCTTGCTTTGATATCCTCGTCAGTTCCTCCTGTATTTGAAACGATGCTTCCCAGGTCGGTAGGCAAAAGAGGTTGTTTCTTTCAGGTTCCTCCCATTTATGCTGATTGTTGTCTGTTGTTGTTGCTGTTGTTGTTCTTGTCCAGGAATCTTCATCACCACGTCTGTTTTCTCTATGTTCACCTGAAGTACCATCTTCTCCGGATGCTTCTTCTGCCAACTTGTTACTTTTCTCTTGCATATCTACCAGTTTGTTGGAAATCAGACATATATCATCATCGGTGAAGTCCAGATCCTCCAAGTTTTTTGTCTGAGTCCATTTTATTTATTTTATTTTAAACTTTAGGCACCACTAACTACTAATCAGCCAATGAACTTGAACGCATCAGTCATATGAAGGAGGCATTTTTGGGTATGGAACGCATATATCTATGAAAAAATGCATAAACACTGTATGAAAGTGTTACAGAGGATACCTTTCTCTTACATGTGATAAAAACAACTCCCAGTTTAGCATATGAGCATTCATAAGATTTTATTTTGATAAATCACACAGTGTTCTACAGTAATAATAAATGATGACCACGTTTCGAGGACAAATTATTGCTGCTCATAATCATATCAATTCACTCACACATGCATGCTCTATAAGCCAATCGAAACTGGATAATCACCCTGCTAATGTTACCTCCAACTGCATTTATAAATTTACGTTCATCTGCAGCAGCAGCAAGTACATTGAAAGGACAGAAAGAAGGGCCTCTATCCAGTTTTCAGAGTATATTCCAAGAAACTTATGCTTAAAAGGAAGCAGATATTTACAAAGTGCAATTACCAGACAACCATCATGTGGGTGCGGGTTATTTTGTCAAGATTTCCAAATCCTTCAATATTATAAACTCTCACTCCCTTGGTAACCGTATTACTTTGATTACACTGATAAGTCATACACACTAGTGAGCTCAGCTCACTAGGGAAGTTTTCATTTTGATGAACTTTAACCTTCTTGAGTTGTCATGTTGACGTACAAGCTAACACTGTTTATTGGGATTTTTGTCTTCTCTCAACCCCCTCCCATCTTTATTTTTTCATAGTTTGATAGCAGATAAAGTGATGGTGACCTAAAGTAAAATTTGTAATGCTTATATTCGGGATGCGTTCATCTTATAATGTTTTCTCTATTACCTTTCAAACAATAAAGTATGAAATGTCATTATTTATAAGCATTGTAATTTCAGGTAGTTTGCAGCTGATGAGAACCCGTGAAATATAATGATGATATCATTTTATACTGCAAATCTGGTCTTTCTTTCTCTATCGAGCCTCACAAAATAATTTAATAATAATAATATTAATTTAATGAATGAAGGGTAAGCAAATGATGTCAGTTGATGTAACATCATTATTCGCCAACGTCCCATTGCTCGAAACAGTTAACCCGTAATACGACTAACTGACAGAACGAAAGATAGATGTAGGAATCGCACCGGAAAAGTCAAAGGATTACTACTGAAATGCAAGATGAATATCCAGTTAATGTTCAGTGATGATTTTTATAGACAAGTTGATGATGTTGCCATAGGCTCACTTCTGGGCCCTATGCTAGCGGATATTTTCCTGGCAAAGCTTGAAAATGGTCCACTTAAAGACACGACTAAACGGCTTGACTATTATTATCGATATGTAGACGATACCTGCATCGTTTTTGATAAGAATCTTAATAAAGAAGAGCTTCTGAATGCTGTTAATAGTGTTTACCCAGTTATTCAGTTTACATGTGAGGAAGAAGACAATGACAGTGTAACTTTCCTAGACGTCCTCCTCACCAAGAAGACAGACGGATATCTACTCAGGAACCTATCAAGAAAGAAGACTTGGACGGGTCAGGACACCCATTTTCCATCGCTTCACACCGATTCAATAGAATAGAAACTTAAAGTGTCTCAGTTATAGAAAAAAGGCATATGTTCAGAGGAATGCATTGAAGAACAAATGTGTAAACTGAAACCTACACTACAAGGAAAAGGATATCCAGAGAAATTACTAAAAAGTATATGCTGATACCTAGAGATAAGGCGGCGATGGACACCGTAGATAAGAAACCTTTGTATCTTAGGTTAAGTTATAGAAGGGAGATTACAGCTAACATTCTAAAGTGTCGACTTAACAGAGTAGTAGAGAGAACATTTCCTGCAGCTAAACTGGTATTCACCTTCTCAACTAAACACGTAATCATATAAAAAATCGAGGATAAATTACCAAAGATGGCCTCATCAGTGTGTATCTATGAATTCAACTGCTCACGTGGAGCTAGTTACATTAGTCGCTCTCAGAGGGCTTCATCCATGCGCGCGCGTGAATATGTACCTGTATGGTTGAGTAAAGGAGTAACCAAATACATAAATAGTGCAGTCTTAGCCCACTTGTTAGATACTAGATACTTGATAAGACCTGAGCAGGCGTTCTCAGTTATTCACTGCGTTCCTAGTAATCCATTTAGAGGTGCTCAACTACGCTTTCTATCAGTAGCTGAAGCGGTAGCAACCAATACCAGAAGACCTGGTCTTTGTATACAGAAGAAGCATATCCAACCACTATGTTTACCTTTGCCTACAATAAGGCTAACAAATCCTGCATAAACATTGCTGCTTTAAATTCCTATCACAATTTTTACTTTTCTTCTTCTTCGTATTCTTTTCCTTTGTTTCACTGACAAACTTTCATTTTTGGCCTCTTACGACATTACGACCTTTCTTATGATTTCTGTTAACTTGAGTTTAAGTAATGCTTCTCTAGCTTGTTATCATATTTGCAAAATCCTGTTCATTCCACTTCATCAAATTTATTATCATTATTATTTGATAATCATTCAACAATAGTACTTTTAGGTTTACACCAAATCATCGTTATTATTTCACAATCATTATTATTGTCGTTATTTTCATCCTTCAACTTATGTCTAGTCCACCCCATTCGTTGGTTTATTTCCTGGGGTATTTATTTTGTATCACACCCCCCTGATTACACTCACCGTCGAAACCTCTACATTTGTTGACAATATTTATTATATACACTCATCATTAAATTATTTTATCTCACTGACCATGCATATTCAAAGACTAACTGACTATTGTTCCATAAAATGGACCCAAAAAAGCTTGGAGAATCTGGACTTCGCCAGTGGTATGTCTGATTTGCCACAAGTGAAAAGCAACAAGTTGGCAGAAGAAGCATCAAAGATAGCAAGGACTTCAAGTGAACATAGAGAAGACAGATGTAGTGATGAAGATTCCTGGACAACACCAACAGCAACAACAACATCAGACAACAATCAGCATAAATGGGAGAAATCTGAAAGAAGCAGCCTCCTTCAACTACCTCCAACTACAGGCGGAACTGATGAGAATATCAAATCTAGGATCGAGAAAGCAAGGCAAGCTTGTATTACTCTCATGTCTGTGTGGAGATCAACAGCACTCAGCCTGAAAAATAAGATCTGGATTTTCAACTCGAATGTAAAGTCAGTCAGTGCTACTATACGGATCAGAGGGCACTTCGAACAAACTGCAAACCTTCATCAACAGCTGTCTCCACTCAGTACTACTCAAGTTCAGATGGTCGGCCAGACATCACGTGGAATCCGAGCGGAAAGCGGCTAGTTGGTCGGCAGTGTGAGGGTGACATGGAGTATGTCATGTGAAGAGGAGATGAAAGCATGTAGGAAGACGTGGAGCCAGGCAAAAATATTGGCAGAGAACCTAATGCAATGGAGACTTGGGGCTGAAGCCCTATGTTACTCTAGGAAATAAAAGAAACAGTAATAATAATTGTTCCATCCCATCTTAAACTTGTTCCATAATACACTTTCTGATATGATTCTAATTTGCCTTTACTAGCTGACTGGCTATTGTATGCTTAAATTAATGGATTTATAATTGTAGAGAGAGAGAGCCTGAAGAAGAGGAATTTATTGAAAGCGACAATTGTTCAGCAAAGTGAAGAAAAACAAAAAAACGAAGAAGTGAACCCACTTTTAAATTAACTTTTCTATGACGATTATCTTTCATTTTAGAAAATATTCTTTGATAAAGACCAGTACGTTTTGTTGATAAAAAACAATATCGAAGACAATAATCCATTGGACCTAATCCTAAATTGATAAAAACCAAAACAAAGCAATATAAAACAGAAATTAATTAATAATGCTATATACTACTGATTGGTTGGTTGATATAAGTAGTTGGACACCCCCCATCCTCATCAGCCATCAGTGCTTACCAGTCAGCCAGCTAGCCAGCCAGAGTGAATTCACGTAAACATAAGACATTCATTTTGCTCATTAGTGACAGAGCTGACCAGCGGGCTATGCAGCTCAGAGAATTAATTAAATCTGTTGAAACCACCCCAATTATATTTTATATATGTCCAAACCAAGTTCACTTTTAACAGTTTGAAAAAATTTGGGGATTGGGGTATATGATATTCATTGTTATAAAAGGCTTTTTGTATCTCTCAATGAATGAATGAAAAACAAAACGATATTGCTGCTTTTACTGATGTTTCGCTATTTAATGCTGCTGCTAATAGCTTTATCAAATTATTATTAAACTAGAATTTACAAAATCAACTCAGCTTATATATGACAAATTCATTACCGTTCCTCAGCATGGGGTCATTTTTGAGTTATCAAGTTGGTCGAGTGGTAAAGATAGAAAAACCAGGTGTGGATTGTTGGATTTGATCAGTGTTTAAAATTATAAAAGCAGCAAGTGTCTACATAATGAAAGTGCTTATCACATTCGTGTTGATTTTGTCTTTTCATGGGGGAGGGGGTGTTGTAACCAGATCGAATTCTGTTTAAGTCCATCGTTCCTATTCGTCACACGATTTGGATTCCATTTGATATGGAGTACCTCTGATAATGTGAGACATTCTTTGTGATTTCTGAAATTTTTCTGGATGACACATTACAATATTGTCAAAATCAGTATTGTGACCTGATTCTACTGTAGTTTGTAGACAGATCTATGGCTGATGATTTTTCGATCTTTTCTAGTTCAACTGGATTTCTCGGTGGTTGAACAGAGTTGGGTCTAAGGTGTTCATTTCTTCTGATTTTGATTACTAGCTGGCGAGGTTTGTCCGATGTATTTCGCATTACATTCCAAGCATTTTATTTTATAGCCACAATAGATAGAGAATCTGTAGGGATTTGGTCTTTTATATGGACAAAGTTGCTTTGTAGTGTATCTGATATTTTGAAGAAAACTCTGATGTCTAGCTTATTAGGTACTCTTCTGATATCGTCTGACGTCTCTGCTCTATATGGAATGACAACTGTTGAGGTCCATGTTATCGGAATACGTTTTCGACCATACTTAATGTCAGTGTTGATTTTTTTGATGAAGTTCTTTGGGTAGTTGTTTTGCTTGAGAGTCTCAGCAATGTTTGATATTTATTTTTTTTCTTTCTCATCCTTTATCAGAGAGTGTGCTCATCTAAGAATACTTGCAACAAATGATACCTTTGCGATGATGGGGTTTGATAATCCGAAGTCTAAATATTTGTTGGAGTGGGATTTCTTCCTGAATATAGATACACTAAAATGTCCGTTTTCCCTCCTCTTAACTAGGCAAACATTCTAGAAATGGTAGTTTACCGACGTCTGATTCTGCTGTCGAAGTAAACTGGATTCTGGGAGATAGATTGTTTATTTTCTCCAAGAATAAACTCTGTAGATCTCGTTTTAGCACTACAAGAGTATCATCTACATATCTTAACCATATTTGAGGAGTGCGTATACTTGAAAAGATGTTATCTCCGAATCTATTCATGAAAAGATCAGTGACTATTGGGGAGATTGGTGAACCTATAGCTACACCCCAATTATAGGTTGGGTAATTGGGGGGAACTTATGGTACATTAAATCATATTCCCAATTTTCAGGTTATACATTTCCAGGTGAAATCTCACCAAAATAGCTCCTTTTGGAAACCAAAATTATTCAAATCACAAAATATGCGATTCCACTGCTAGTCACCATCCACCAATTGAAATTCTAATTAAATGTCCAGATATCGTCGAAGCATCTGCACAAGAAGCCGACTTGTCAACCTGAGACCGAGCACTTCGGTCCAATCAATCGACGGGAGAATCTAAAATTGAATTAAATATGTGATCTGTTTGTTAACATAAATAGAAGGAGGAAGGAAGCAAGCATGCTTGCATAGTGGCTGTTCGGTTTTTGGATTGCAATCTAATGGGCTTCTGTTAAACTATATGTATGTGTAAGAGATACGGCATGTCTATCCTCCGTCTAAATCCAGTCTCTGAAGCCTACTGTGTAACTATCAAGAGAGCCATACTGACGGAGTTTCCTTGTTCTTTTGTGTTTGGCATGGAAAGTAGGGTCTAAAGATTCTTTGAAGTTACAGTAACAGTGATTTATTTCTTTTTACGAGTTTGATGATGGATTGATATCAGTTAGAGAACCATTGAAAGCCAGACAGGGAGTACTGGACAGCTGTTTCATCCGTCCTAGTTTGGGAATCATCGGAAGTACGCACCCATTGCAATTGTTGGTACCCAGGTGTTATGTATGTGAATATTAGGACCTTGTAGACTACGAGCGAATCTAACTTAATGCGCTGGCTAATCTGTCCTAATCGCACGTCAACAACAACAACAACAACAATACCGCCGGGCACGCAAGACAAAGAAAGAGAAGACTGGACGTTGATACGAGAGCTTTTACTGTCTCTAACATCAGTCGAAATGTTAAACAACAACTCCGTATTTATACAGTTAGGAAAATCAATGTCACATTTTAAAAATATTAAAAAACCATGGGAATTCAGTAATTAAAATCAATAATCACGCAGATGCGTGAAATCAATGATTATGCTAGTGTGTGAAATAAATAATGAATATTAATGATTCACCTGTGTATATATTACCAGGACATTCCGGTTACACGGCAAGCTCGTATACCATTCAGCCACCACTGGGACCCGATTTCTCAATGGTTAGTTCATGAATTCTAACTTCTACCAATTCGCGATTTTAGCGCGTCCCCAACCAATGTCGTTGGTGAGACGTCCATCCTCACACTTGACTGGATGGACCTCACTGGTGACGACTTCTCACTAGAACTCCAGGAAACTCCATTCTGTAGCCAGTAGTGACTAGCGAGCTCCAGATTAATTTTCTATAGTTGGTTTGTAAGGTGTAGGTTTGTTTTTACGAGTTTGAACACGGAATGATATCAGTTAGAGGACCATTGAAAACTAGCCAGGGAGTACTGGACAGCTGTTCCATGCTAGTTTGGTGCGGTTGCTGGTGACTAGCCGTGGAATCCAGGATGCATCATTTTCTAGGTCTACCCGCGCTCCAGGTGAGTTGTGTTGCTGTTGATGAAACTGGACTCCAGCACCTATCGTTTCAAAAGCCAAAGCGTTACCCACTAGAACACTTGGGCCATGAGAACCACCCCTTGTGCACCAAGTACCAATTATTATTCATTTTGAAGCTAATTTTAATATCCCCGTTGACTGGTTGGACCTAAATGTCCAGCCTCATGATGCAAGTGGTCTGGGGGGAAAGGTAACGCCTTAGCGTTTGAGATGATCGATAGTGTGTTTAAGTCTCAGTGGGAAAACAGCATCGCTTATCGAGGAATGCAGGTACATCCAGATGAAGAGTCTTTAATGCGGCAAAATACACATTGTGGCTTCCACTGCTAGTCACCATCCACTAAATTATTATTATTATTATTGTTCTCTTAGGTTCCTAGTGGAACATAGGGCGTCAACTACACATCTCCACTTGCTTCTGTCTTCTGCTGTACTTCTCACCTGCATCCATGCTAGTCCATACTGTTTCAATTCCTCTTCACACGATCTTCTCCATGTCACCCTTGGACGTCCCACTCGCCGCTTCCCTTTCGGGTTCCACTCAAGCACTGGCCTGACGCGCGATGTCACCCAGTGGCCTCCTCAGCCAGCGAGTGTCCAATCCATCTCCACTTTCTCCTGCATATTTGTTGGGCGATTGGTTCTTGTTTTCTTCGTTCCCATAGTTTCTTGTTGGTGATTCTTTCCGGACATCTGATCTTCAGTATAGAACGAAGACAGCTGTTGATAAAGGTCTGCAACCTGTATGAAATATTCTCTGTGACCCGCCAAGTTTCTGATCCGTATAGATGAACTGACTGACTTGACGTTTGTATTGAAAATCCGAATTTTGTTGTTGATGCTGAGGAGTGGTGAAGATTTCCAGATTGGTTTCAGGTTGATGAATGTGTTTCTCGCCTTCCCGATTCTCGATTTGACATCCTCGCCGTCCGTTCCTCCTGTAGTTGAGACAATGCCCCCTAGATAAGTGAATGAAGTAACCTCTTTCAAATCCCTCGCGTTGATGGTGATTGGCGCTGGATGTTGCTGTTGTTGCAGTTGTTGTTGGTTGGTTGTTTTCATAACCTCCGTCTTGTTTATGTTCACCTGGAGTCCTGTCATCTCTGGCTGCTTCTTCGACCAGTTTGTCGGTTATCGTTTGTAAGTCTTCGATTTTGTGTAACATCAAAGGTAAATCATCCACGCGCGAAATCCAGGTCATCTAGGTTCTTCACGTCGGTCCAGGATATCCCTGTCTTCTCGTTTCCCACTGTCTGACGCATCATCCAGTCCATTACAATTAGGAATATCATTGGTGATAATAAGCACCCTTGTCTGACTCCTGTGTTTACTCCACTAAATTACTTCATGTTTAATCCTCACACCTCGTCGAAGCGTCCTCACCACAAGCCGACATGTTGTCAACAGGGGCTGAAAATTTCGGTTGGCAGGATGAACACATGAATACATTGGTTAAATTTGATTAACCATCACATATTCATATATATTTGAATTACAAATATTCAAGCATTACTTAAAGATAAAACTAGGCCTTTATTTACCTTGTAATTCTTTCAATTCCATTGGTAAAGTGAAACGGGTATTGTATTCACGAATTGAATTACGATCGTGATCATCATGACCAAGACGATAACATACCCACTGCAGGAAAAGAATTAAATCAATAAAAAGAATTTTTATTTGTTTGATCACGAGAGTGACATCAGTTAGAGAAGCTTTGGAAGCTAGTTAGTACTGGATAGCTGATTCTTCAGCAGTATGTACCACCGCCAGGGATCAAGTCCACTTACCGCTAGGCTACGAAACGATTTCGTTTGCTATCCAATGGTAAGCGCATGAATTCTAAGTAGCTCCGATTCGAAATATGTACTGCCACCTCTAGGCAATGGCATCAGCAAGTATTCGTCCCTATACTCAAACTGGTGGAAACTACTGTCCACAACTTTATTCATGTAACTCTATCCTGTAGTCAGCGACTAGTGAGCATTAGAGTAATTTTCAAGTTTTGGTTTGCAGGGGTTTGATTGATTTTCAAGTAGATCATTAAGTGACTTCAGTCATGGAAGCATTGAAAACCTGGATGTTGGTACAAATACCCGCCAATAACATTACCTGTCAAGCTTGCTATTATTTATTTATTTGTTTATTTATTTATATTATTATTGCCTTGCGTTCCGAGTGGAACATAGGTCTTCAACAATACATCTCCAATTTGTTCTGTTTTCTGCCGTTCTCTTCAGCTGATTCCACGGTTGACCGAAACTTACATTTACACTGTCTGGTGAAGGCTTATTCGAAATCGATGAAGTTGAGGTGGAGGTTTGATTGCCACTCTGTGCTTTGTTTGATGACGATGCGTATTGTTGTAATTTCATCAGCATATGATTTGCCTTTCCTCAGTCCGGCTTGTTCCTGGTTGGTGGAGTTCTGCATCCAGTGCATTCTTCATTCTCTCCTGGATGATGCGACTTAGTATTTTACTTGGCTTGGACGAGAGAATTATTACACGCCAGTTCTTGAACAGACCTAAGTCGCCCTTCTTTGGCAGTTTAACGAGGTAGCCCTTCTTCCAATCGGTAGGCACCTTTCTTTTTTTCCAGAGTGTTTTGCCGTAATGGAGTGGGAACATTTACCGTAATCTCTGAGGCCGTCTTCAGTACTTCGGGAGGAATGCCGTCTGGTCCTGCTACCTTCCCAACTGGACTTCACTAGCTTGATCGCATTCAGGATTTCTTCTTTCGTTGGAGGAAGGGTGTCCACTGGCAGTTCTGTGAGTGCCGATGGTGGTATTTCTAGGTGAGTTGCCGGTGGAGATCGATTCAAGAGTCCAACAAAGTGATCAGCTGATTCATTGTGTGATTTTTTTCTCCTCCTTGGAGATCAGGTTCCCTTGAGCGTCTTTTATTGGTTTCATCATCTGGGTTGATCTCTTCCAGGATAGAGACTTGGTTATCTGATATAGTGTCCTGATGTCTCTTGCCTGAGGCCTGTTCTGCTACAGTTGTCGGCCAGTATGTCGCAGAATTGTCGTTTGTCATTTCCAGCACTCTTCTTCACTTCTTTATTCAGTACAGTGCACATTAAACTCAGCTTCTCTTTCTTCTGTCCATCTTTGGATTGAGTCATCTTCTCTTTCACCATCCTCCTCTCCTCAATTTGCTTCCTGGTAGATGTCCGTTGACAGCCATTCCTTGTGGTGTCTCTTCTTTCCTCCTAGAGCAGTTGTACACGTTTCCTTGAACACTACCTTCAGAGAGTTAGTTCCTATGTTCTTCCACGCAGATTTCCTCAGTGATACCACGTAATGTCTCAGACTTTGCTGGGATCTGATCCTTAGCGTGGCATTCCTCGCAGTTTTGTCCTTCAGTTTATGAATGTTGAACTTGAATTACAGTAGCCTGACCCCATTTGTTTTCATGGATTTCAGTTTCAACTTGAAGGTTCCTAGTTCTAGTTCCTTGAACTAGATGATGGTTTGAGTGAGCCGATATCTGCTCCCCTTCTCGACTTTGCCTCCAGCAAGCCAGCTGCGTCTCCATTTCCTTGAGATTGGTATGAAATCTTTTTGGTTTGTGGTATGTTCTTCAGGCGAAATCCATGTTGCTTTGTGTATATCCTTGTGTTTGTACACGCTCTCTCCGACCACTAAATCGTTTAAAGAGTAGAAGTCTGCGAATAATTCTCCGTTCTCATTCATTTCTCTGAGCGACAGCCTCTCAACCCATGATGAGTTCTGTTCCTGTATTAGCAGGTCATAGTTTGGCGTTCATATAGCCCATGAGGATTTTGATGTCCCCATTTGGGATGTTGTCCGTTACTGTTTGTAGTTGTCTTGTTCCACGTTGTTTGTAGGTGAGTAGCATTGAATAATTGTAACCTTGCTTCCCTTTGAGTTGAATCTTTCTGTCATAATCCTGGATGATATTGGTTCCCACTGCTTAGGGCTTTGGCTGCTGCTTGTGACATCATGATAGCCACTCACCGCCTCAGTGTGCTCGTGGTTGTTATCTGGCTAACCGGTGTAGACTGCTAACTTTCCAGTTGACAATTCTGACAGTTCACATCCGCTTTCTCAGATACCCAGCACTTCAATGCCATATCTTCGCATTTCGTCGGCTACTTGGGCAGCCTTCTCAGTCTAGTAAATAGTACGGACATCCCACTTCCCCGTTCTTATTTTTGCTTTCATCGAGAGAAGATACATTGGCTGACTGGCTTCCCGAAGGCTTTCACCAGCATGCCGCGTCATTTCGCCTCTCCGATTCGAGCGAAGAATAAGATTTTCATTTGAAGTTTTTGTATTTTTAATATATTTTCTATGCGTTAAAGTTTCTCTAGCGGTTTGAAAGATTTAGTGGTGTGGAGGGTTTCTGGTCCCACGCCCAACCTTTCCTCTTTATCCGGGATTGGGACCGGCTAGAAAACTAGCGAGTTAGCTAACCAGGGGAGGTCCGAGTTTGCTACACACCACAAATTCACAGAGATTAGAATTCCTCGGATCGAGTTGAATTCCGTCTCAGTTACTCTCCTGCTAACTTCAAAAGTCCTGGATTCGATTCCTGGTGGTGGCTAGATGTATGTGTAATACTGAAAAGTCGTAAACTAGGATGAAACAGTTGTCCAGTATTGTTTTCCAGTTTATAGTATTTCTCTAAATCAAGTCGTTTCGTGATCAATAATAATGATAATCTACTTTATTCCAAAAACAGCACTACTTATAAAATATAATGGAATTCTCAGCATTTGTCACAATATTCCATCTGATTTACTTAAGATATAAATAAAATTAAAAATTAAAACAAAATTAACCAGAGGAATTTGTCCACATTTACGATATAAAGTCAAAAATATTCGACGCGCGAAATGAGATCATTAAATATAATAATAATAATAATAACAGTGAGTTTGTTTCAAACATTATTGTCGATTCAGTTTGAAAATTTTAGCATGTTATCATAGAGTATTGAATCTAATGTTCTGTTGATATAGCAGCATGGTGAGGGGGAATACAAAATTAACAGTTATAATACAGCTTAAACTATGTTCACACTTATGAGAAAATAAACAAATACAAACAAAATATTGAGAGGATTATAAATATAAGAAGTACAATAACAATAAAGGTTGATGTTGTAAGGGTGGAGGAAATGGTTTATTTAGTAGTGCAAAGAAGGTTAGTCAGTTAGTTCATGCCTGGCACTATTTTCATCACATGAAGTGCGTGCCAAATATGATGTAGTGGAATTATTTTTATACTTAGACGTACGTGCATAAAAAAAAATTTACCTGAGGAGATGCAAGGCTGGAGCTGCGGGTAGAGTGGATGCTCACAGTCTGACAAAATTCCTTTAGCATATTTGTTTCATGAAATCACGTGCCTATCAATGACAATGTCAACGATGTGGCCCAATGGAATACCACTCGCTCTACTGACAGTCAGTTTTCAGAGTTCTATGAAGTATGACATAGTCTTTTTAAGCAATCCAGGAGAGAATAAGCAGGGGTGAACAGTAAAGAAGAATAGGTAAGACGCACGAGTTGACAAACTGTCAAAGGAGGAGGGGTTGGGTTATGCCTGAGTGCCTTAGCTGCTTAATGTCAAAAGTTAGACGAAATATTCTTTTAGAAATCGCTAAGACATGGGAAGACCAGTATAGTCCAGAAGAAAGAACTAATCCAAGATACTTAACTTCAGACTTGATTTCTATATCCTCACTATCATCAGTTTTGCAACAGTCATAGGAAACAACAGCTTCATTTAACTTTCATTTACATCGGAAACTGAAATTAACAGTCTGAAGTTTGGAAGGATTTAGTTTAAGGCTAACTCCTAGAAACGAATCTAATCCCTACAAAAAAAACACATTTGAAAAACAGGATTTTTGTCAAAGTATTAGGGTTCATTGGGATTTGATCAATGTTTTTCAATATGGATTTCATTACAAACCGGTATGCCGATGTTAAGCCTAGTTGTCGTAAATTTTAAACATGAATTTATTACCCACTAGGGAAGACACTTCAATACAGCTAACAAGCACTACTGTTTGTTGTGAGCGGTATACAACTAACTATTCATATGAGTCAATCAGTAGTATAACGTTTTAGACAAAAATACTTGCTTCCTTGATTAACATTTAAGAAATCAGGTAGATCATATATTTTGTGATCTGAACAATTTCGGTTTCCAGGCGAAACTTTGGTGAGATTACACCTCTTCAAACTGTGTCAATTACAAATTGCTGTTGAGGGTCTTATCACCTAGTGATCTGAGTACTTAATTATGTGGTTGAAGGTAGTCACTAAGAAACCTTCAGGCTAGGTTTCGTTCTTAATGATACTCATCAGAAAAAAGTATCTTAATCCTTCGAGGATGGAGACTGGAAACCACGTCACAAAAAGGAATAGAAATATGATCAACCGGTGTATCTGTTTCAATCCTACAGAAGGTGGTCAATCATGATGATGATAATATCTCTGCGTGATGATTCAAATCTCAGAAGGGACAACTCCCCTCTGGTGAGCACTAGCAAGCACAAAACTTAGGCGTACAACTTCTTGTTGATTACCTTCAACTATCTAACATCAGTTCAAAATAATACTACTCTCAGTGAACAGCTTTCACATTTGACTAATGGAATTGAGTCATTGACAGTGGTTATTCCATACTGATCAAGCATTTACATTTATTTATTTATTATTATTATTGTTTCCTTTAGTTTCTAGAGGAACATAGGGCTTCAGCCACACGTCTGCATTGCGTTCGGTTCTCTAACAACATTTTCACCTAGTTTCACGTCTGCCCACATGCTTTCATCTCCTCTTCACCTCATATCCTCCTCCATGTCACCCTCGCACTGACGCACGACTTGCCGCTTCCCATTCAGTTTTCACTCTAGCGATGGCCTGGCATGTGATGTCACTCACTTGATGGTTTGTTTTTTCAGAGTATGGCCAATCCACCTACCTCCATTTCTTCCTGCACATTTGTTGCACAATCGGTTCCTGGTTGGTTCGCTCATTGCCAGAGATCTCTGTTGCTGATCTTTTCTGGTCGGCCATCTGATCTTGAGTATTGAGCGAAGACAACTGTTAATGAAGGTCTGTAGTTTGTTTGAGATGCTCTTCATGACGCGCTGGCCAATTCTGTGATCCGTATAGTAGTACTGATTTCACATTGGAGTTGAAAATCCGGATCTTATTTTTGATGCTGAGTGCTGTTGACCTCCACACAGACTTGAGAGTAGTGAAAGCTTGCCTTGCTTTTCCGATTCTTGCTTTGATATCCTTGTCAGTTCTGTCCGCCTGTAGTTGAAACGATGCTTCCAGTTAGGTAGGTGAAGGAGGTTATTTCTTTCAGGTTCCTCCCATTTATTCTGATTGTTGTCTGTTGTTTTTGCTGTTGTTGTCGGCCAGGAATCTTCATCACCACATCTGTTTTCTCTATTTTCACCTGAAGTCCTTGCTATCTTTGATGCTGCTCCTGCCAACTTGTTGCTTTTCACTTGCATATCTTCCATTTTTTTGGAAATTAGACATATATCATCGGCGAAGTCCAGATCCTCCAAGTTTTTTGTGCAGATCCATTTTATGTTTGTTTCCTCGCTGCCTGCTATCTGTCACACTATCCAGTTTAATGCAATCAGGAAAATCATTGGAGATAGTAGGCAGCCAACCAGCTTGTCTTACTCCCGTCTTCACTTCGAAGGATTCCATGAGTTTTCTATTGTGGATTACTTGGCACAAAGCATTTTCTTACAACTGTTGGATGAGATGTATAATTGTAGGCGACACCTCGTATTAGCGTAGTAGTAGTTGTCAAATCACCTCTCGATCGGTGTTGTCGAAGGTATTTGCTACGCAAATGAAGATGAGATAGAGAGCTGACTGCCATTCCAAACTTTGTTGAATGATGACCCGTAGTGTTGCAATTTGATCGATGCGTAACTTGTTCCTCCTGAATCCAACCTGTTCCGGTCGAAGTTTTTCATCCATGGCCTGTTTGATTCTCTCCAGGATGATGCGGTTCAGTATTTTAATTGGGATGGACAGGAGCATAATACCACACCAGTTCTTACATGGACCTAAGTTCCCTGATTTACATTTACAATACCACCAACAATACAAGTCTAACAGTAACAACAATAACAACAACAAGAACAGATCAGCTTACCTCTTTCCATCGATTTGTATAAAAATGCATACAATCTTCTAGACCAGTTTGCCAACTTTCCGGTTGAATATGATCCATTATACCACCATAGGCTTTATTCTCTTGTAACAATTGACTAATACTTTGTTTATCCAGTGCACAATTTTCAGCTTTTTTAGTACGATAGATTTCTAGCATAGCCATACTTTCTGGTGTTAACTTAGTGAAATCCTTTTTCAATTGGTTTTTCAATTCTGGATATTTTTGGCGTATATATTCACAACAGTTGAGGTGATTATCTTCGAGTTGACTGGCATTTTTACTTGTTGTTGGATCATCGTATTGACTTTCAGACTAAGAATATGTACGTATATATATTGCAAAGAATAGAATGAATAGAAGTTGGACGGCAATTTTTTTTCCTTCACGTTCCCCAGTGGAACATAGGGCTTCAAGCTAGTGGCTTGAAGTTTCTGTAGCAGTGTTTATTTTACAGGATGGGGTTGCTAGCCCCATGCCCAACCTTTCCTCCTCACGAGCATTATTTCTGGCTTAGCGAGGTAAAGGAGTGCGTCGGCCGGGGATCGAACCCCGGACCATGTGCTTGGTCGGCGAGCGTCCTAACCACTATGCCACCGACGCACTGGACAGAAATGGTAGAGTATAATTCCATCATATTATTATTTTATTGTTATTCCTTTGGGTTCCGAGTGGAACATACCGCCTCAACAACACATCTCCACTTACTTCCATTCTCTGCCGTCCACTACAGCTGGCTAGCTCCATGGTTACACGTAATTTATCATCTCCTCCACCAACATACACTATGTCCTCCATGTTACCCTCGCACCGACAACCCACTCGTCGATTGCTTCCCATTCGGATTTCACTTGAGTGATGGCCTGCATTGGGCACGATATCATCTAACGATCTCTTCAATGTATACCCAATCAATCCATCTCCATTTTCGCCTACAAATTTTTTGAGCGATCGACTCTTGGTTCCTTTGTTCCGCTGCACAGTTTCTTGTCATTAATGCTTTCTGACTGATCATTCGGTCATCAATATGGAGTCAGCCAGCAAAGGTGGCAGCTGTTGGTAAAAGTCCACAGTGGCTTGTTGCAAATCCTTTCCGTATAGAAAATGACTGACTGACTTCCCATTTGTACTGAAAATCAGAATCTTGTTCTTTATGCTGAGGCGGAATGCAGTGCAGAAGACTTCCAAACTGGTTTCAGGTTGATGGAGGCGTATCTCACCTTTCCCATTCCAGTTGGTTTGCTGCCTTTGACGTCTTCATCCGTTCCGACTGCCTGTGGTTGAAACCGTACATCCTGACTAGAAATTGAAGGAAGTAAGCTATGTCAAGTATCTCCAGTTGACGGTGATTTATGCTGGTTGTTATTGATGTTGGTTGGTTGGTTGGTTGGTTATCACCTCCGTCTCCATCTTCGCGATGTTTAGCTGTAGTCCTGGCTGCTTCTTCAGCCAGTTTGTTGGTTTTCGCCTGTCTGCAAGTCTTCGCATTTGTGTGACATTAGACATAAATCATCCATACGCGAAATCCAAATCTTCTAGATTTAATATTTTGTATTAGGAAAACAGTACGACAGTGGTTTAACAGCAGAATCCTTGGCAGCCACCATCACGGTCCGAGTTTGATTCTCGACCGAAGTAATTCTTAACCCCGCTTAGTTTACTAATCGATAATAAGCTAAGAGACGACGGAAGGCTAAATGTAAGGCTAACAGCCGAACCCCGTAAAAACAATGACACCACACCTAGTCAAACTTCAGTGTTCGAAGCTTCAAGCTGTAGTTTCCAATGAGAAAACAATGAATGGAAAATTGTGCGCTGCACCATCACTTCAACGATTTCATATTAGGAGATAAAATCTACAAAAATAACACTATGGTTCTTGTCACACTTTAATGGTTTTACAAAACGACCTACAAATAACTTGAAACTGAATCAACTCGTTCAAGCTGGTCACGCTAGGCATATGCTCACCGTAGGATTTCTGAACACTGCATATTTTGGTTAGGCGAAGGATTGAATGAAGCAAAACATAGCCCAATACTACCTTTTCTCATCACAAGGAAGACGTCAAGGAGACACTAAGAGAGCTTATAAAGTTATTTACTGTATTTCACTTAACCTTTCACACCCTTTACACGTACCCTTTTTCAAATAGGGTAGTGGTAGACAGAATTGACTTGAACAAACCAACTGTGTGTGTTCAGAAGAAATTTCAACAGCCTCTTTCTTCACCATGGCCATCCCCCTGTCTTTGTAAGTATCCGTTGACTTTGTTATTGCAGTATGATTACCATTCTGGTTAGTTCAGCTGACTTATTTTTACCTTTGTATTCTCAAATAATTCGTTGTTCCATTCATCTTAGACATCATTATTTTAAAAATTCATTGATAACGTAATAAGTAATAATAATAATAACCTCCATAAGTTTCGAATTGAATACAGGAGTAAGACAAGCTGGCAGCTCCTACTATCACCGATTATATTCCTAGTTGTGGTGAACTGATTGGATTATGTACCAGACTGTGCGTGGGAGTGAGAAGACAGGTATATGCTGCACCACCTGTAAGAAGACTCTAGAAGATCTGGATTTCGCGAGTGGATGATTTATGTCGTTGAATGTCGCACGAACTCGAAGACTTGCAGGCAGGCGGAAACCAAAAAACTGCCCGAAGAAGAAATCGGCTAAGACAGGACTCCAGATGAACATAGAGAAGGTGGAGACGGAAGTAATTAAGATAACCAACCAACAGCAACAGCAATAACAACCAGCACTAATCAACATCAACTGGATAGATTTGACAGAGGTCACTTCCTCCCCTCACTTATCTAATCAGCCAGCATCATTTCACCAACAGGCAGTCGGAACGGATGAAAATGTCAAAGCCAGCCAGCCAGAATCGGAAAAGCAAGCAAGACACGCCTTTGTGAACCAAAAATCAGTTTGGAAACCTTGTGCTTCACTCACTAAGCCAGCATACAGAACAAGATTCCAATTTTCAACACAAATGTGAAGTCAGTCAGTCACTGAGTTCTTCTGTCAGTTATTCCTTCTATACCGGCCACAAACTAGCACTACACGTGCATCAAGAAAGGGATTTCCAACAGTCCATTGCAGACTCTCATCAACAGCTGGCACCTTCACTGGTTGGCTCCATACTGATGATCAAATAGCCACCTGGCCGGCCAGCCAGAAAGAATTAGCAACAAGAAACTCTGGCTATCAGCAAACCAATCAAGAGCCGATTGATCAACAAATATGTGGGAGGAAATGGAGGTGGATTTATCAGGCATACGATGAGGAGTCTACCAAATGACATCGTGCGCAATACAGATCATCACTCGAGTGGATTCCGAATGGGAAGCGAGGAGTGGGTGGTCGGTGCGGGGGTGACATAGAGGATGTCGTGCTTGTTGGAGGAGGAGATGAGAGACTATGTGTAATCGTGTGGCTGACCAGCTGAAGTGAATGACAGAGAAGAGAAAAAATTGGAGATGTGTTGCTGAAGCCCTCTGTTCCACTCGGAACTCACAGGAATAATAATAATCTCAATAAGTTACATAATCTAAAACATTGACTAGTTACCATTTCATGAATCAATCTGAACAAAGAATATTCCTTTCAATAAATTCTTTCCACGTTGTCACAGGTATCAAGTGTTATTTTGCGAAGATCTGATTGGTTCTATGTTTGATCATGAGCTGATATCAGTTAGAGAACCATTGGAAAACCATCAAGGGGTACTGGACAGATGTTTCATCCTAGTTTGTGGCTCTTCATCAGTACTTGGGGTCGAACTCTTTAGTTTCTGGTCACAAAGCGAGCTGACAGACCATTCAGCCACTGGGATCCGATCCAATGGCTAGCCAGTTTGTAATATATGTAACGCAGCCGCCAGCCGGTGTCATCAGCAACTAACTGTTCTCTTATCTGACTTGGTTGACCCAGCTACTTGTAACTTCACAGGTAGAACTCTAAGTAGCCTCCACTGTAAAGTCAATCGTGGGTGCGTACCGCTGAAAAGTTCCGAGTTAGGAAGAAACAACTGACCAATACTCACTGCTGGTTTTCCAATGGTTCTAACAATTTCAAATTAAAATATATTATCATTTGGATAATAGCTAGTTGTGTGGCGGATATATTTCTTACACAGAATAACAGACTAGTTATAGGGAAGTAACAAAATAAATAGTATTTGTATGAAAAACTTGCTAGTCTGAATGCGATTACAAAATATTGTGTAATACGAGACGATGATGTGCGTCGATGGCACAGTGGCAGGAGAGCCATCAATCACGTATGTGGTCTGGAGTTTGATCCCCGGTCGACGAGGCACTCCTTTACCTAGTTAAGCCGGTAATAGGACTGGTAAAGAGGGGAGTTTAAGCATGCTGCTGGAAACTCCATACCGTAAAAATAAAGAACACCACTGCTACAGAAACTTTAAGCCTCCAGCTTGAAGCCGCCCTATGTTCCACTGGGAACGTAAAGGAATGAAAAACAAAAAGATAGGAAGAAATGGTAATAGAGGTAAGGAAAGGGAATTGACAAGCGAGTTCAAGGTTGTAAAAAGCTGTTAGATGAGAGTAGCTAGTATAAAATAATATTCATTAACGAGGAGATTTTTTTTTTTGATTTACAGCTTGATTTCCACACCGTATTTTCAGTACAGGTGTGGAACTTTCAGCATGGATATCGGTTGCCCAAATTCAGGCATACCATAGATATCGGGTGTGCGCCGGCAGGGGTTCGAACCCCGGACCATGTGCATGGTCGGCGAGAGTCCTAACCACTGTGCCACCGACGCCAAAGTGGTGTCAGGAGTGGGATTCGAACCCACGCCCACAGAGTGGACTGCGAGATTGTAAGATAATGGTGAATAGTCCATCATGAAATAGTCAATTAGTGAAACACAACAGGTAGAAGCATATTATTGAGAAAAGACATAATAACACTAATAGCGAATTAAAACAGTATAAGTGGAAAATTCAGTAATACTGCAAAGAATACTAGAATCAAGGATATAAGTTATACAACATGATGCCTGAAACTGTTAGACACAGCAGTAAGAAGACTAAATTTGTGTGAATCATGTAGAGGTGTATTTGCACACAACACACTTCGAACAATATGATCACACACGGACTTCTCATGGGAATATGTGTATATGAAATTAATAAAGAGGTAAGAGGTGAGGAAATAGACAAATTAGGTCGAGTTAAAAGGACATATTGAAGGTGAAAATAACAATGAAGATCACGAAACCAAATAACAGAGGAAATAGTACATCTACCCTGGCTGGTATCAAAACGAAGTTTACCAAGGAAGGTGGTTTAGTGTGATGACGAATTGTTTTTGATGAACGCACAAAGGTGGTTTAAACTTCCAAATTGGTAGCTAGAGCTCCCACAAACTTTAGGATACTCCCTCCCCCAAACACGTTTCTTAGATAGGTTTAAAAGATGTGTTAACGTCAATTTTATGTCCTGTCTCTATAATATGTTTCGCAATGGAGGAGATAGGTTGCCTGTTCTCACCATTAATGGGTTCTGAAGATTCTGTTTGCTTCTGGATCCATTTAGGAATATGCTTTGAAGCCAGCCCTTACTTGCAGAGATCGATGAGTCCTCCCCATGTATTTGTGGTCACACGTACATTTAAATTGGTAAATACAGTGGGATGTGATATCAGTTTTCGCATATTCAAAGGACTAAGATGGATGTATTGGATTCACATTCTCAATTATTCTGATATAAGCTGCATAAAAAGTCTGTTTTCTAACAGCAGCGTTCAATCTTTGTCCAGTTGTCAAGCTGCTATGATTCTTTATATAGGGTAGCTTGATGTACAGGTCTTTCTTAGGGGCAAGTTGGAGAGTGAGTCTTGGTGTTCTGACTAACTTATATCTCCTGATGAACTTGTCTGAATAATTATTATCAACCAGAGTTTTTGTCAACTTTCCTTCTTCCTCATCAAGTGTGTCTTCAATGCATATTCGTTGAATTTTACTGAAGAGGCACTTCACTCCCTAAGACTCTTTTGTAGCCAACAGGGCAGAAACTGTGATAACTAAAATACTGTCTTGTCCAGGTAGGTTTTCTATCAATAGATCGTTTTATTGATCCATCACGTTGTCGACTAAGCAGTATATCTAGGAAAGATAAACACTTACCTTCCTCTTCTACAGACGTAAGTGATATGCTATTCTGAACTTTATTCATTCGATTTAAAATTGAGGTGGGAGAACAAGCCTTATCACTTATGACTACAATGTCGTTGACATATCTTCTATAAAGCGGTACATTTCCGATTAAGTCTTCAGATAGACTTTCAATATAAGACACGTAGACATCTGCTTAAAGGAGCCCCAACATGTCCCTATCGGCAAATATGTGGACAAAAAGGGGACATTTTCTTTCAAAGGGGGAGAAAACCGATCAAAAGGGGCCAATGGGAGGAAAATGTCTGGGAGGCGGACAGAGGACATAAAATTGCTGTCTGCACGTCTTTCAAACCTATCTATAGAACGCATTTGTAGAGGCTCTATCTGGCAATTAGGAAGTTTAAACCACCTTTGTGCGTTCATCGAAAACAATTCATCATCACACTAAACCGCCTTCCTTGGGAAACTTTGCTTTGATACTAGCCAGTGTGGATGTGCTATTCCCTCTGTTATTTGGTTTCGTGATCTTCATTGTTATTTTGACCTTCAATACGTCCTTTTAACTTGTCTATTTTCTTACCTCTTATCTCTTTATTAATTTCATATATATTCCTATGATAAGTCCGTGTGTGATCATATTGTTCGAAATGTGTTGTTCACAAATACACCACTACATGATTCAGATAAATTAAGTCTTCTTACTGCTTTCTAAAATAATAATAAAGTAAAATTACAACAGAGAGGTGAGGGAATTTTTAATCCAGGTTTTGCCGTCGTACAAACAGTGCCTGAACATATTCTTCTTCAATACATAGTTCCGGTTTATTTAACCTTATATCAACAGCTTTAGTTGAATTCCGAAATTGTTTTCCCTTACTCCCGTATACTTCAGAATTTGTATTTCTCACTGACTAATAATCTGTCTCTAGCTTGCTCTAATTATCTGTCTTGAAAACAATTTCCTGTGGTATCATTATACTACTATCAGTAGCTAAAAGGTTTTCAAAAATTACCTCCGATCTCCTTTCGGAATCCATGAATCGGCTTGCCATAGTTTTAATGCTAACTAGCAGACAGACTCTCTAAATAGACTGCAATACTTCACTTGTTAGCACTGATGTGCAATATTAATTAGTTTTGTGAATTCGTAGAAATACATGGTGTTGTAACTCTCACATCATAGAGTAGTAGCGCTTACCAATCACCACGTTGTGATGGTCTATTCACCAAACGACTGTTTTGTTCATTTGGGGCTGAGTCCATCAGCGGTGTCCCAGTTACTGACCTCAGTCAGTCGATAATACACAGTTTTGTGCAAATATGCTGGCTTTCTCCATTACCATTTATGGTATCAACCAGGTCACATGTTGTGTGGTGATCTGAATAAATTGATTTCCAGAAGAAACTGGGATGAGATCTCAGCTCTTCGAACTGTGTAAATTGCAGATTGTAAGTAGCGGCCTAGTTAAACATTAAGCACCACTAACTACCAATGGAGTGTATCCGCACCACTGATCTTGAATGGTCCAATGAGATTTATTCATGTCAGTTGAAGCTTCTATTCCACTTGATTCGAGTCAAATGCCTGCTCTAACGCAGTTTTGTTTGCAATTTGGTGAGATTTAAGTCTTTCAGTATTGCGTAGACGTGGGGTCAAAATTAGGAAAGAAAGAATTTGTTCATGTGGAGGTGTGATGACCATAAAAAGCTTCAGCAGGTCTCTTGACGGAAATGTCCATCGGTGTGCAATTTGCTTGAGACAAGTTAGTGTCAGGAAAGGTAAGCTGATGATTCTAATATTTCGTAGGAACAGTTTTTGCCAGGTCCCATCCTTCCTTAACCCAGATTTTGTATATTTGTAATGACTGGGTTTCAAAACAGTATGTGAGAATTGCAACTGCTGAAACTGAAAATGGTCTTCTATCAACATTTCAGTGGTACAAGAACTGCAGGGATATCGCGTCTTGGAAAATGGAGAGGCCTACTTCCTTATTGGGAGGAGAAGGTGTCGTCGTTCACGTGGATGAAACTATCTTATATGAAAAAAAATCCAACCGTGGTCGTGAACGAGCAAACAATGTTTGGACGATCGGCTTATATGACACCATTCTAATGATTTTGTGGATTCCATTACAGGGATCCACACCAATTCTGTCGATGGCTTTTGGGGTAGGTTAAAAACAGGATTAACGCCATTGACGAATCACAAATCAATGTCATTTATAGTCATTTAGGTGAATATATGTATGGGATGTGATGTAACTTTACCATGGATACTCCTATGCTAAACTGGGAGATGTTTTTATCACATGTGAGAGAAAGCTATCCTCTGTAATACTTTTATACAGTTTTTATTCATTTTTTCATAGCTATATATGTTCCATACCCGAAAATTCCCCGTTCGTGTGATTGGTACGTTCAAGGTCATTAGTTGATTGGTACTTGATTGTGTTTAAAGTTTAACTTTGCCTTAGTAGTAAGCTAAAAGTCACGTAATTTGAACTGATTCACTACTCTGGGTTGAGTTAGACCGGTTACAACACGGATGAGCTTGGCTTCAAAGGTAAGAAACGGTTATCTGGCGTTCAGATCACTTCAATCTGGTAAGAAACACTACTGGTTAATAAGAGTGGTATGTAGCTACTTGTATCAACCAATCAGTAGTATATCGTTTTATACAAAAATTTGTAAGTGTAAGAATACAATTTTTTCAGTAATGTTTTTCAAACATTAGGTTAATTAATTCCGATTGTTTAATAATTAAAAATGCTGTAAAACAAAGTTGTTCAGTCATTAAATGTGAGCAGATAGCCCTATCCTTACTTTTCAGAATAGATAATTGATTCTCTCTTCTCTTGTACTGATAACATTCCCAGTGAAAGATAGGGCTTTAAGCTCTGAGCTGTGTGCTTTCAGTAGTGATCGCCGTTCTTTCCTTGGAATTACTATCAGCTAGGAAACTAAACAAGGTTTCAGAGTACGTCAGCCAAGAAATGAACGTGGATCATTTACGTAGCTGGAGAACATTCTAACGCTGAGTCAGGGACACAAATATCTTAGGACCGTCTGAGCACCATAACTGATTGAACCATTTTAAGCAACTATATGAAAATAATCTCATGAATAGGCTACAACTTGACTGATTATATATTGGGAAGTATTCTGTGTCACGCATCTAATTCTTCTTCTTTGTGCCGACTGAGTTCTACTATAGTCAAGTTTGCAATGTAGTCGGTAAGCTAGGAGATTCACCACTGTGGCGCACTTTGAATTATTATTAGATGGATGGACCTCGAACTACATTTGGCATTCTTTAGAAAGGTATGTATTGAAGGCCCCAATGTACCTTCTAAGAGATTCTTACTGGCGTTACTTTTTGTCGCAGTCAGAGACGTTACTAACGGGCTATTCGGTAACATTTCCAACTTCTGCAGTGGTGATACGGGTTCATACTTTAAAAGAGACATCGACTCCTTCAAGGTTGCAGGTGAATATGGCTAACCAATACGAATGAAAGCGAACATAGATTGAGAAACTCCTCCAATCATATGACATCAAACCACTACTTCTACACTTGAAGAAGTCAAAGAATAAATGCATAAACACTTTGTAACAGCTGATAGTTCTACTTACCATGTTTTCGGAAGATGTTCATAAAATAATCAAAATATTTATCTTTTTAAATGTTATACTCTCTTCAAAGAGACATTCAAACCTAAAAAGTAAAGAAAGAAAAATACATTATTATTATTAAAAAAAAATTAATGGGACATTTCAGAATGTAAACTAGTCTTACGACTAAATATGACGAAGTGTTACTGAAGTTGTGTGTTCGTCTAACTTCAACAGAATGCGTCTCCAGAACGTAACGCTATGAATGACCAGTGGACCAATTGAAAACATCTCATAGGCTAAGATGGACATAAAAGTCAAACTGGGAAAAACGACGACCACAGCAACAACCTTTGTTAAACAAAATACAGGGCATGTAATTAGAGGTTAATTGGTGGATAGTGACTAACAGTGGAATCCAGGACAACCAGCATTTCGTACTATTCGGGACTCGTCAACTGGATGTACCTGCATTCCCCAGTGTGAGTCAGTGATGATGTTCCTACCGAGGCTTGAACCCAGTGCCCATAGTCTCAAACCCCAAAGCGTCATCCACTAGACCGGTTGGGCGACGAGAGCTGGCCCTCTCTTGTGTAACAGGTCATATTAATTATTCATGAACTTTATTTTGTCATTGTTAACCATGCTAGTTTTAAAGCGGTTGTAAAGAAACTACGAAATGATATCATCTCGCGAAATTTGTCTTCTTAATGCCTTATTCAAATTAATTATTTAAGTGAATTTTAGGTTTTCCTGCCGATTGATTGGACCGAAGTGATCGGTCCCAAATAGAACGAAATGCGCATCCAGGCTGGATTCTACTGCTGGTCACCATCCACCAATTAACTTTCAATTACATGCCCAGACGTCGTCGAGGCATCTACACAACAAGGCGACACGTCAACCTGAGACCGAGCACTTCGGTCCAGTCAGTTGACGGAAAAATCTAAAATTGAATTTTGAAAAATCAAAGGGCATGTTTCATTTATAAAATCTCAGAAATTTAAGCTATAAATAAACAAATCTTTCATTGAATACTAGTCAGTAACTGGTGTGATGTGCCTGGTTCTTTGTTTTGTGCAGACTGAATTCTATCAGCCGAGTTTACAATGTGAAAACCACTTTAAGTAGTTCGCCATCATGGCGCACATTGATCTGATGATATTAGATGGTTGTGTGATGTGGGTTCGAATCTCATCAGGAGGGACATGAATTCCTTCAAGGTTACAGGTAGGCCTTGCTGACTAGTGAGTACCAACTAGTACTAAGGTCAGACAAGGCTTCCTGCTGATTGCCTCCAATCATCTAATATAAACAAATCTGACTGATCACGATCCTCAGGAAGTGAAGCCAAAAATCGACAAATCAAAACATTTCTACAAAAAATTGAGGATCATTGGAACCTAGATGGCCAGTGGGGTAAGGACAATGTCTGAACTAGCTAATTCTTAACACATAAGTTAGGCTTCTTAATGTGGGTCCCAGCGGCCCCAACGATATTTAGTAAACGAACTTTTAAGACGAAGTTAAGCCTCACTGACATCAGTCTTGTGTTCTGTATCCACAAGATGAGATGCAATAGCGCTACGAATAGATTTTGTTTGTCCTTTACTTAACCACTTAGGGTGATGTTGAGAAATCCGACGAGAAACACACCTAATTGTACGGCCTATGTAACTGGATTACTCCACAGCAGCAGTCAAATCAAAAAAATTGTTCAGTCAGGTTATCATTGTCCGTATATGTATAAATCATGACTTCATGGCTCTCAAGAAGCTTATCCATCCTGACAGTCTCCTTTTTCATGAGTTCTTTACTGGGGGACCACTGGATGATACTTTGTAGGTCTGTGTACTCCATCAAATGGTTATTCACTTACCTAATGCTTCTATTTTGTCAGAATAAATTCTGAATTATTCGCTGTAATCAGCAAGGTGCCCATGGTGAATTTATACCTACAGTTGGAAACAAATAAGATATCTATCTTCAAATTTGTAAGTGTGACTGACTAATTGACTTTGTATTCAACGCATAACTTTTCACAGGAGTGCATCAGTTCATACTGCCACGATAGATACAGTGCTGTTGAACAGTGCATACACCCACCCACCTATACATGACCGCAACACAGATCAAGCCTAGCACCTTAAGCCTATGAGGTGAGTGAGTTAACATTTAAATGATCTTTGAATTCCAGTCAGCGTTGTCAGAAAGTGTCTATCTTTTTGATGTGGTTGTGTTCTCTGAGCTTACATTGCCCTAATAGACAACATCTTCAGCGCATACTACTTCAATTTGTGGAAGTAAACTTGTAGATTTCTCCACGAGTTTATTAGTCATCTCTCCTGGTGGGTGACCTTGAATGTGGTTGGTTGTTTTGTGTGTTTTCACACCCACTAGGCTACTTGTATTGGTGCTGATTGTTTCCTTGACTTGAACTTTGACCCTTTGTGTGTGACATTTCCTTCTTATCGATTGGTAAATCCCGTCTTTGTCAGTGTGTCTACTGATTACCGATTCACTTGAATACCAGGCTTCTCAAAATTCTCTAGCATTCTTGGTGTTTCCTCTGTCTGATATTTGAATGCTGGTTGTCCCAGTCAAACTGATGTCCGTGGTTGTCTGTATGCAGCTATATGAGGGAGTAGATGTCATATCTTTCGACGGCTAGTTTATGTTCATGGATATGAAAACGAAGGGGACGTCCACTTTGGCCAGTGTAGTGTTTTTCGCAGTCGTTGCAACTTATTCGGTAGATGATGTTGGTTTTATCTTCTTTCGTTGTTGAGTACTTTGGTTGATATAGAGCCAGCTTAGTGAAGTGATTTTGTTGGTTTGTGTGTGACATCAATTCCTAAGGGTTTGAATAGTCTTGCGGTGATTTCTGAAATCACCAAGCTCAAGGCCAAGGTCAGCAGTAGAGATGACTAATAAACTCGTGGAGAAATCTAAAACCTCACTCACACAACCTGAAGTATGTGCTGAAGATGTTGCCTAGTAGGGGGTCAATGAAAGCTTCGCAAGTATAAACCATCCTGCTCAGAGAACACAACCACATCAAAATCATCCAACAGAACTACAAATCTTCTCCATTGTATCTATCTTTACATCAGTATCTACTGGTCACAGCTTTTTTATAGTAACCTCAAGAAGTTCATCCCATTTGTAGGTTTCTGATCCATCTCAAGTGACTGAATGTTAACTCACTCACTTCCTAATAATGAAGGTTCCAGATTCCATTCCTTGATGGAATCACGGCTGAGTATTAATAAACATCTCCGTGATTCATAATAAATACCTAACTGGTGGCATTGTCGTGGAGTTCACCTTGAAATCAGTTAAATTCTCAACAACAAAAAATCAATATTTAAAAATTTAAATCAAAAGTTAAATACCCATAAAGTGAGGGATGTATATTCATTTGAACATTCTACATACATGATATCAATAATGTGTGAAATTTTCAGTCATGCGACTGGAATAACAAAAAAAACAGACGCATTTTACAAACTAAATTATATGAAAAAATTGAGACAAGACGACTTTATAAGTGTTATTAATTACGTCATATCGAAAGAAAGCAGACAATATTACCTTAGGGAAAATTGCACACAAAAAGTGGAAACTGAAAACTCAAAAATATTATTAAGAATATTCATTCTAATCCAATTGGTAGAGGGAAGGAATATTTCAGATTATCACAAATTTTATTATTAACATTGTGAAGGTCCCAATAGTGAAGTGAAATCACTAGTCAGAGACTTTTTTGTGGCTGTCTGTTATAACAGAGTAATATTGATTTGTTGGTTGCCATCCTACTTGACCAGGATGAGCCTCCCGATGGGATGTCATGTCCAATTGATCACTTGAAAACATCCCCATCGAACTGAGATAGATACATAGGTCAGATTTAACTGCTATAATAGAGAAAGTTTTATTATTGAAAATATAGGGTATATAAAGTTTATAAATCCTCAGAAATTTAAGCCATAAATAAGCCAATCAATGACTATCCAACAAGATTATCATGTCACTGTGTGCACCAATCGTAACAACGTAAAGTTATCTGTCCTAACATCGTCCTTGACGGTTCTACAAGTGAAATGTTGTTGTAGGAAAGCAGTTAATTGTTCACAGAATGCATGAAGCACTCGATTCAACTTAGTTTGCAGGAGTGAATAATTTCATTAGATATTAGGGTATTCTATGCAGTGCTGTTCATTCAATCTCATGTTTACCATCAGACGTTGTCGAAGTATCCCTATTGGAGACTGACATGCCAACAGACATACATCTCTTCGATCAAATATAAAGCGATCTACAGGAAATTCAGACTAACCTACAACTGTGCTCAAAGATTAGAATAAATTGACTGAAATTAACCAAATGCTAAGCACCAGTGTTTAAAGACTATTATTAGTCTCATTCAAGATATTTCATCATTTTCTCTTGTAATTTGCGGGCATCTTTTCGTGATTACTTCACTGAAAAACGACAACTTAGAACAATGCACTCAAGGCTCAGTGATATAATCCCCCCTAGATAGCTGAGGTTCGATTCCCCACTGACACACTCTGAAACAGCATCTAGTAGATAGTAAGTCGATAAAAAGATGTTAGTTAAGGCATGAAGACAGAAACCACACAATGTATTAACAATACCATTGCTTCAGAAACTTCAAGTCCTGAAGCCCAATATTCCACTAGGAATGGGATCGATTAAAGAAAAGAATTGATACATTTCTGTACAAAGTTCAACGCTGATGAGTCTGTCAGTCAATTAAGGATGTCAAAGTACATACCCAACAGGGTTCGAACCAAGGATCTACTGGTTACAACGCTAGCTCGTAGACCATTAAACCACTGGGAACCAATCCAGTAATCAGTCCGTGAATTCTAACTCCTGCCAGTTCACGAAATAGCTCGACCGCTAGCCAATGTCTTCGACGAGCATTTGTCCTCACATCCAGCCTGCTGTACCCTACTGGTTATGACTTCCAAGTAGACTCCCAGGTAACTGCCTAC